TGCGTACGCAAGTTTCTGGGCTCAAATTGTGCGTACGCAAGTTTTATAAATCCGACCCCAGGTCTGGAAGGATATCAGTTAATCTGAGCAACATCAAAGTGTAAAAACTGTCCTTACAAACAACTCCAGCCTCTAAAAGTTTGATTATGATTCAGTTATTTGCACGTACAGCTGACTGTGTCACTTCCTGTGCAGCGTGGGACACTTCCTGCTGGAACAATCCCACATGTTCATCTGAAGCAGTGAAAGGTTAGAGTTAATCAATCCCTCTGTGCTGTTTATCTGTAAAGGTCTGGAGGGCTGAGAGAAAGATGGCGTTGTGCAGCCTCAGTGTAACCCAAGCACYGGACACATCCTGGAAACAAAAGGCCACATTTGAGTACTGTAACGTTCCTGCTGCATTTTTAATGAGCGCCAACCCACTTCCACCTTCTCTCCCTCTTTTGATCCCTCCTTTTCTTCTGCGAGCAGCAGCAACGCCGCAGAGGGCTCGTGTGTCATCGCCATTAATGGTTAAGGTCATCGGTTATTCAGCCGCAGCGCCGGGCCGACACGAGGTGTGCAGCGATAACCGCACAACGATCGGCTCTTTTGTTGGCCGGAGTAAAACAGAAAGAGGAGAAGCCTCTGTGTTCACACAGCCTCTCCTTCAATTAATCAGCACTGAGGCRGGCGACCATGTTTTTACCTCCGTCTGCAGCTTCGTGTCTGTTAGCAAAATATCTCACCAACTGGATGGATTTTAACGAAACTCTCAAAACATCATCACTGTTTTTTTGCCTGAAACTGATTAACTTTTGGATGTAAACTAAGTCAAAATGGCTGCCAAAGCTAATAAACTTTAAAAAACACAAAAATAACTATAAGTCAGTCATTTTTAAGAACACAAAGGTAATATTTGGTTTGGTAGTAGCTAGGAGTTATCCCCAACACATGTTTGGAGCAAAGACAGATTCTTTGAGATTTTTTGTTTAAAACTCTGGCAATAACTGTTGGGAGTCCACATTGTTTGYCTGTTAGCAAAATAATTCAAGAACCACTGGACTGATTTGAATGAAACTCTCAGAAAGTAATTGTTGGATGAAGATCTACAAATGTTTAACTTCTGAAGTTAACCCAAGWCAAGATGGCTGCCACAGCCAACCAAACTTAACCAACACAAAAATGGTTTTAACTCAGTCAGTTTGACAGATATTGAGGTAAAATTTAGTGTGGTAGTTACTGAGAGTCATCCACAACAGACATCCTGAATTTATAACTATTATCACTTTAGTAACTCCTCACCTATCCACATATGGAGGTCCGCTCCCTCCTCGCCACGGTTATCCAGCACCAGGTAGGAGTCTCCGTTGTAGAAAGCCCCCACCTCAGAGGGATCCAGCTGCACCGACTTCATCTTCTCCACCCTCCACACCCTCAGACCGGGCTCCCGGACCTCTGGGCCAAACTGACCCGGCGCTGGCTTGAATGGGAACATTCTGTTGAAGAAAAGCAGACTGGTCAGAAACAGAAGAAGGAAAAGCTTTCACATGACAAACGTCCGATGGATGACTAAAAGACAAAACGCTTTTAACATGAAGACRAGAAGTTAGCTCAAACAGGAAGTGTGAAACACACAATGTGGCGTTTCTGTTATTATGTAATTTTTCATTTGGAATAAGAGGAAGTAAAAGTAGACGTTCAGTCTGGAGTGTTATGACTTCAGCTTTTACCAACTATCCTTGAGTGACAAAATAAAAAAACACCAGTTTCTAAAAACGGTAGAGAATATCTTACCTGTTCTAGATACAGTGCATTGTTGTAATATTGCAATACAAAAGTGCAGAGGTTTCACTGTAGCTAATGTAGCTTTTTGTCACACCAGTATGACCTTTTTAAGAATTTTTATTTATTAGCTTTAAAAATAAATTTATTTTAAAAAAATGTTAGCGGTCTGGCTAGCCGCTACTCTTGAGTCTCAGGTAAAGTTTCTCCTTGTTGTCCATCTATAGAACTGATTCACAACTGATTAAGTAAAAATCTGACAGAACAACATTTCAGAAATGACTCAACTTTTTTGTTAAGTTAAAAAGATATCATGACCCCCTGGAAAGTGCCTCCAAGGAGACCGCATTGTGATGGAGGTAATGATTAGGCTTCACACAAAATGAAGGCTTGTGTAGCTGCTTATCATCTGCAGGGTTTTGGGGTGTGGTTGGATGCAAGCTGCTTCACGTCTCTGGTAAAAGCAACAGACATGTCTCTTACGAACAGACAGTCGAAGGAAGAGAGGAAAAAAAGCTGTGAACATTTACATTAGATTTAAAAGCAGTGCCAACAAACCACAAGTTTGTTTCCTGTTTGSTGGTGATTTCCTCTGCTCCATTTGCACAACAGAAACCATCTTTCCTTTTGCTCTGTCTTGCTACAACAGGTGAAAATTTCATGAAGTTAAAAAAGACAAGATAAAACTTTAAAAAATCTGGTTTCTATTAAAAATGGAAGCTATCTTGTTCGTAAAACAAAAGTATTACCATTACCCTGACGCGGTTTCCACTTAAATTAAGCTAATGTGGCATTAGCTACTGAGCTAATAATTTTAGCACAGGAGCTAACCCACGTGTRTATGGAGATAGCTCCAGAGCTCATTCACTAAACATCATGTTTGATTGTTTCAACRCWTRCATTGTGCAAAACATAGAAACTAATACAAAATCTAACTTYATTGTCACAACATTATAGCTTTTTARCATCGGCTCTGTGTTTTAGTCTCAAATGTAACCYATCATCATTGCATCAAATAACTAGAAGCACTCGGAGARTGCAAACCTCCKCCAAGACCAATTCCCCCCATCCTGTAAGAGTTAATGCGCAAAAGCAGAGATGGAAACACATTTGCTGAATAAGTTCTGACRTAGWGAACATTTAAGCAGGCAGTATGCACAGAATTTCTTCTCKGTGGAGTCCAATGTGAAAAAAAAGTCAGACTCATCACCTGACGTTATTCATCTTCAAACTGGTGTYGGATTAAGCTCCTAAGTTTTCATCAGTCAYATTTCACCATGTAAAACGTCTGTTTTATCCCCTTGTATGAGTTTGTAATGGTTTGACTCTCTTTATAAAGTGCTTCCTGTGCCCYCCACCYYGGATTTATMCTGCATGCRTCTCCGCTGCGCAGGTCGCAGCTGTGCGTGTCAAGTCCAGTTTACACCAAAAAAAAATTAATTCTATGAAAGACGAACTCCAAACAGCTGAAAACAACGATATAAAAGCTTTTGGTATCTATGTTGAAACTGTCTTGCTGTCGGCTTTTTGAAACTTTTGATTTCAAAATAAAATCCACGTGTATCGTGTGTGTACACATACAGTATGCTTCATGCTACATGTTTCCATCTGCTTCCCAATCAGAACGATACATTCTGACAGCATTTGTGTAGAAATATATCCGTATATTTATTAATATAGCTGCAATTTCGACAAATTATTCCGACAAATTATTCCGCCAAATAGTGTCTTATTTTGAAAATATGGATGTTGTGCTCATGTCTTTTCCTGTTGGTGCAACGTAATCTTTAAAGATTGACTCCGGCGCTGCTCCGGCATCCGGCAAAAATAGGATCTGTTCTAATTTTGACGGATCGCCGTCCGCTCACGGCCGCCCTGCACAGCCAGTGTAAACACTCTCATTGATTATAATAAATAATTAATCAATAATTGATTATAATTTGCTGCGGAGGTCGGACCGGAGCGGAGAGGAGACGGAACGCAAGCATATGTGCATATTATGGYGAAAATTATTCATCATTAAATGTGGTTTTAACATTACTTTTATAAAGTTTGAAGTCCGTGCTGTCCAATCCAGCTCACTGTTTTTTACAGAAGCCCTGTGAAAGCATCACAGCTTTGCCGATCTCAGAGTGTTAAAAGAAAAAAAATTCCTGTATCCGCATCATGATCCTGAAAATCACCAAAATTTAAAGGTGTGTTCCTTGGCYCAGTACCCACAYGTKGTRAAAATGTCATGACAATCCRTCCAMAAGTTTTTGAGTAATGTTGTCCACAGACAGAACGACAGACATACGCGACCTAAAACATTACCTCGCACTTGGCGGAGGTAATTAGATGTTTTCATGTCACAACAACTTTTTGCAGAATAGAGAAACAACATATTAAAAGTAATGTGCTTTAACTATTTATTTCTTATAGCCCAAAATGACTATAATTCAGTCAAATTCACAGACAATGAGCTGAAACTTGAGGTGGTAGTAGCTGAGCATCCTCCTCAAAACACGCTAAAAGGGCTTCACCACAAACGAATTAGTTTTAAGTATCAGTGTGCAATTTGACAGGCGACGTGCATTTCATTCTTCGAGTTTTCAATCAAACTCGGGGGGTGGGGTGGGGGGGTTCATCTGGTGCAAAATAAATTTCAAGTGTTTATCGTTTTGCATCTACAGATAAAAAGGCGTTTTCGAACTTTACCCCTCATCACGATCCTGCAGCAGCTGCATCAAACTGAAGTTTCCTTTTTAGATAAGCAAAGCCCTGCAGATACACCGGAGTCTGAGACACGTTTACAACAAGCTCTGACRACCATATAAATATTACAGATTAAAGAAACACAACTTAATCTAATCCGCTGATTTGTGTAGACCTCAGCGGTTCAGGTTTTAGAAAACAAATAAAAAAAAGGCGCCAGGCAGCTGCCATTAATGACAGACTGAAAAACAAAAATAAGCCATGCTTTATGGTGCAACAGGATGTGAGCAGCTTCATTTCCTGCTCCTTTAGCAGCAAAACTAGCAAAACTAGAGGGTGATGGTGCAGTRAAGTGAATATCTGAACACAAAGATGGTAGGAGAGGAGGTAAAAGAGTAAAGAGGGACAAAGCTCCCCCCTCCCTGGGTTAAGGTTACGTTGTTTGGAGAGAACAGGAAAAATAAAAGGCCCAGTCCACTTAACTGTATGATATCCTCTGGTACCTGTGGCATGCTGTCCGCCTCCGGCTCCATTCTGCGTGTTCACTGGGCTGTGTTTGTTGTGTGAGAAGCTTTGAGTGTCGGGCAGCCTGGCGTGGAGCGCTGTTTGAGCTCACCTGGCCTGGTTGGCTCATAAGAGGGAGGAAACCGGAGCCGCAGTGATGAAAGCCTACCTGCGGCCCGGGGATGGATAGGGCGCTGAGCAGAAGCGAGGGGGGGGCAGAGTCGGGTTCCTGGGTCCTGGCTAGAAGCTAAACACTGAGCTAATGGTGACTTCAGGAGAAAGCTGCTCAGTATTCTCCTTCTTTTCCGTCGTGTAACTGTAGCTTTCACTTCTCCGCTCGGTCTCGATTTGGTTTCTTCTGACACAAAAAAACCGAAGCGGACATAAAACCAGATTTACACAACTGAACAGAAYAAGATCACTGGGATCAGTGCGTTAGAAAAATAAATTCTGGCAAACCGTACACACATGCACCAATGAGACTGGGTCAGGGGGCGATTGAGAGCTTGGCTGCCATAAAAATGACAGGCGTAGCAATAAATATTAGCTCTTTTTATTGTCCTCTATACCAGTGATACAGCCAGCAATGTTTTATTAGTGTTCTTTATCACAGCTACTCTTAACAAGCAGTGTCCAAATCCAGGGGCTGCCTCCTTCGAAGGCTGGATTTGTTGGACGATTATCTCACAGTGATGCACCAAAAGGATGTCCAAATTCCTAGACTCCTCCCACAAATGTGTCCACCAAATGTGTCCACCTTTCCCCCCAATTTGAGGGACAGGTTTGGTGTACTTTAATGAATTGCCTGTGAGCTAATTTTGTTGATCTATAATATGAATTTTACTATTTTTACATGTATATATGTATACTACATCATTGTCATAGTCTTAAAAAACTTAACAWGATGAAATTTGAAAACTTTAAATGTTTGAATGAACAGGCTCCTCMAGTGCTTTGTGAGTTCCTCTTCTACAGGCTCAGTAACTCGTGGAGCGAACAGTGGGAACTGTAACGTTCCTTTTTAAAAAAACGGCTATGGTTCAAACAGCTTTTTCTGCTCCAGGGATTGACATGTGCAATTCCCTACCTGCTGATTTGGCTTCCAGAGGCAATAATAAAAGACATAAAACTGAATCAATATTATATTTTTAAAATGTTTCATCAAGCTCAGAGAAGCTCTTGAGGTGTTTGTCAACATTTAAAGCAGTGATTTGTAGATGTTTCCCTGATTCGACACACCTGGTTTGAATGAATGTGTGATTAACAAACTTCTGAAGACCTGCTGAAGAGCAGGGAAACATGTCAAACATGCTGGATAGTTGAGGACCAGGACTGGGAACCATTGTTGTAGTGTATAGTATTGTTAATACTTGACACTTGT